TGAGTATATCAATTGCCATTATCCAGTTCTAAATTTTTTTGGATTTTGCATTTTAAATTTTCCAGTCCCTCTCTGAAAAATATTCCAATGTGTTGTTCCTTGAAGTAGACGTGGACGACTGTCAGGTACGTAGCTGAAATTCAAGATACTACTGAGCTTTTCATGTTGGCCTTTTTCTCTGTATAGCATAAAAAAAAATATCAAGCAATGGTAGAACTGTAATTCTATCTAAAATATTGTATTTCAGAATAGGTGATGGTGATGATTATGGGCTTAATCCTAGATATCAGGAGCTAAGTGCATCGTATCCTAAAGTAAACATAAAAACAGATAAGGTGTATGATCAAGGCTTCTGAATCATATCACTCACCCACTTTCTAAAACCCTACATTCTACCTGCCATTCTGTAATGCTCAATAAATAGAAATTGACTACAATAATTAAATCCGTAGGCTTTATAAGTATTAATTCATTTAGATCTTTGTGCTGATGTCATCCCCATTTTACAAATGAAGAAACACACAGAGAGGTTGTCTTTGGAGTTGAAAAGAGTATGTGACAGAGGTCAGATTGAAAGTGAGGTCATCTGACTCCCCTGTCTTTCCATCACACTTTAGAGGATGCTGCCTTGTGGTGGATACAGATGGAGGTCTTAGCACATGGCCCTCGCTGCTCACATGGTACACTGAACTTGGAAAGCCTGTTCAGGATGCAGCACCTTTGGACATCTTTACCAGATGTGGGAGCATTTTAGGCAGGTGGAGTTGGGAGGGTGTGATGTAGCAACAAAGGTGCTAGACCTAGGTTCTCATCCTGGTTCACCAGCTTCTGCTTCAAGCTCATCTCTCACCTTCTTGGAGCCTTGGCTGTCTGTCTACAGCAGATCACCTGCCCCAGTCACAGGCTTCCCCTTTTCTCCATGAACTCTTCTCCAGTTACCCCGTTTTGTTCCCTGGACTACATTTTTTCCCTTCCTAGGTGTCCTCCTGATTTATCTTTCATTTTGCATTTATGGTAGCGATACGGGATGGATCCTCCACCCAGACTTGCTTGCTTTATTTCCCACTTCTGACTCTCATTGAAATGGAGACGTAGTTAAGTTATTTATCTTTTCTGTGCCCCAGTTTCATCCTCTGTAAAAAGACACCAGTAAAATCTATGCAAATATTTCAAAGTTCAAAAAGCTGATACCTGAAACATTTCTGGTCCCAAGCATTTTGGATAACGGATGCTCAACTGTACCAATCTCTGTCTGTGAACAGGCTGTTTTGGGACCAGATATAGAATAAATGAATGAATGAATATATGTTATGGTTCAGTACAGTTTTTGCTCTAGATGTATTGCAGAATTTTTTTTTGTGTGTGTGGGGGGGTTA